GAGTTGCTTAGTGGACCGTTGGAGGCCAGAGACCCACACGTTTCACTTCTGATGGGGAGAGATGGCTCCTACTCTAGAGGATGTGTCACTTTTGCTCGCACTACCATTGGCAGGTCATGCCATAGGACTGTTGGATGCACCAGCTGGTTGGGAGTGAGGTCTTACACAACGTTTTCATGGTGTTTTTCCAGATGCTCTGGATCCGGTATGGAGCATCATGGACCTAAGTATGATTGGTTGCTCAATTTCCAGGTTATTTCCCCTAGCTCTTATCTTCAATTTATCGTGCATATGGTTTTACAGAAAATACCTGTGGCTTACTAAAACTTTTCTCGCTGCTTAATGCAGATCCAGAAGTTCCCGGCGCCATTGAGTGCGGAACAGATCACTCGGAGCCTAGAGGCCTACTTAATGTGGCTTTTTGGCAAGGTGATGTTCACAGAGAACCATGTCACCACTATTAGCGCGCTCTACATCCCTATGGCACTCGAGATAGCGAGCGCTCAGACGGCGGATGAGATCAGACAGAGGAGTTGGGGTTCGGCGGTCTTAGCGGCTACATACCGAGGTATGTGCAACGGTTGCCAGCTTACATCAAGAAAGCCAGCCCTTCTTGGATGCCCTCTATTCCTACAGCTGTGGTCGTGGGAGAGGTTCTCTATAGGGCGACCAGATGTATGTGTTAATCAGCCTATAGCCGCCATGTTTGATGCTGACGGCATCGACATGCCTACTTTTGGTCTGTGTTGGACATGTCGCGAGGTATGTATCGTGTTATAGTTTAATGTAACTTTTGTGTGCACCAGAGATAGTTCAATGCTAGCGGCTACTAACATTTGTTTTCTGTAGAGACGCTTTGCTAGTGATCAGACCAGGAAGGCATACACGGCATTGAACGAGCAGTTCGATACATACACTGGGGTCATCTGGCAGCCCTACACAGAAGCAACCATAAATGTGAGATACCCTGGTGGTATGTCTGTGCTATGCACAAGGGACCGAGATTACTGGATGACGAAATCGAAGATCATCTTCGATGTCTTCGTCGAGGAGATGGCACAACAAAGGGTTATGAGGCAATTTGGTCCTTTGCAGTTGGAGCTACCTCCCCCTACAGAGAACCCGGTGCCAGCACACATCCACAGGTATTAACCAGTTTTTCAATGTTGCATCATCTTTCATAGTACTCAATTCGAAGCATTAGGTAATTGTGGAATGAACACCACAATTTTAGGATGACAAGGAAGGGCATGGCCAGGACAACTGCTGACTGGCTAGCTAGACTAGAGCCGTATGTTATAGAATGGGAGACATCAAGCACACATCTATGGCACGAGAATCACAATTTTGATCTTAATGAATTCAATCTCTATTTGCGGCTCTACATGACCGGGACACGGTTACACATCGTTGAGCACTCTCACCCAGAGGAGATACTTGATCCTACTCCATCGGGTATGTACCCGAGCTATGATACTTTGGGCTCTAGGCAGTATGCGGTAAGATATATTTTCTTTAAGTAATGTTGTCACATACTTTGACGTGCATACTTAATAGTCGTCATGAAAATTTGCAGGCTACCTTGACACACGAACTCTACGATGATGTGACCACCTTTGGACGATCACTTTCGTATGGACCTCTTCTTCACCACCGTCCTGTGCTACAGCCCTTCTTGGAACGAATGCAGAACAAAATACGGGCTGTCTACGAGGCTATCACATGCACCCGAAGAAGCGACGTTGTTCAGCACCAGCAGCAGCAGCCGCGTCCCTCCATGCACCGACATCAACCACGTCCACGTCTAACACATCAGTCGGCAACGAGGCCACCCTGTCCTGACCAACCTGGAAGTTCAACATGGCTGCACCCGCAGCACTATGGTCCCACGTCAAGCTTCGTGTTTTCTCCATAGCCACAACAACACGGTCCCTCATCGAGCTTCGTGTTTGAGCCAGAGCAGTCGTCACAGCCAGCAGGTATGTGTCTTCATATTTATTGTTTTCAATATTAATTGAGGCGACCTCATTCTTCATGACTTAGCATTCCATCGTGCAGGAGCCTACGGATATCAGGCATCTATGTTGGCATCACATGCTACGTGGGGGAGTGATCAACATCCCAAGGAGAACATAAAGGCTCAGATGTCGCAGCACACCCGATGGATGAACATGTTTTTGACTCCTCCACCAGGCCCCACACAGGATACACAGCATGACCAGGGAGAGTCTGAGATTCCTCCTCGTAACATTAGGGCACCCAACAGGTTGGGATGGACGCTAGATCCGCCTCCCCGCCAGGTCAGACATCGTCACTGACGCTTCTATCTATCAGTAGAGACATTACCATCTATTTTTGTATGAGACTTATGTCTATTCTATGTATGAGACAAATGACTATGTACTCATGTATGAGACATATGCCTACTCTATTTTAGTACTCTGTTATCCGAACTACAACATCATATTTAGATAGAACACAATGCTCGTACAACAAGACAGTACAAACAACTAGATAGAACTACATCTAAATTAAACAACTAGATAGAACATACAACATAAAAACTACATGAAGTCATCATCGTCATCCTCCATCGATGCAGAGCTCTTGCCCTTCGACGATGAAGAACTCTTGCCCTTCGACGATGAAGAACTCTTGCCCTTCGACGATGATGAACTCTTGCCCTTCGATGATGCAGAACTCTTGCCCTTCGACGATGAAGAACTCTTGCCCTTTGACGATGTAGAACCCGGAAGCGGCGGCATGAAGATGTCACTCTGACTTAATGCGTGAGCCAGCTCATTCAGCAAGGTGTCACTACCGATGAGTTCTTCCCACGGAACTAATCTGTTGTCAACCCTGAAATCAGTGGCTAAACGCAACAGACATTCGGACATACGACTGTGAAAACTACGATCAAAAGGATATCCAGACATCTTGGCGAGACTACGAGACTACGCTAGAATGCTTACCAATGTTAGTAACGAGGGGGTCTTATAGGTTGAGAGCACAAAGGAAGGCGGGAACTCGGTAGCAGGAACATATGGCGAGAGATAATGGCGGGAACTAAAGAGCGGAAAAATATGGCGGGAACTAAAGAGCGGGAACATATGGCGGGAATTAGAGAGCGGGAAAATATGGCGGGAACGAGCAAAGCGGGGAAATATGGCGGGAACCAGCAAAACGGGAAACTATGGCGGGAGGTTGACAGCGGGAAAATTTGGCGGGAAATGGTGGCCCGTGATATACATGGGGATCGTACGGGGAAAAATGGTGGCATGCACCAGTCGGCCTGCGGCTGGCCAATTAGAGCCTGTCGGCCTACAGTGGGCCGATTAGTCCAATCGGCACACAGCTGGCCGACAGGAACTGGACTCATGGCCGACAGGCCATTCGGCCGGCAGCCAGCCGATAGGGGATCACTCGGCCTGCTGCGGGCTGACTAGGCCCAGTCGGCCTGCAGCGGGCCGACGGTGTATTATTTTTGAAAATTATTTTTTGGGCGTAATATTTATGCAAATTAATAATAAAAAATGTATTATTTAAAAAAATTAGCCTCTCCTAAAGCGGCTCCCCCGACCATCTCCTCCATCGACGACCGTTGCCTCTCTAACTCATCCCCAACTCGGACATTGATTCCCGACCATCTCCTCCATCGACGATCGCTGCCTCTCTGTCTCTGACCTTGCCGGATTCCTACATGCAAGGGAGTTTGGATATGGGTTTTTGTGTGACAGTGAGCATTTGGATCAAGAATTCATGGAGGCTCTCGGCCATGTGATGTATACAATATTGATGACGCATGCTCTTAGTAAAATAGAGTTCATCTGAAGTTTTAGGGAAGGGGAAGAAGGGAGGGTATTGTTTCCAGAGTGCACGGTGTAATTTGGAGTTTGTACGAAGGTAGTTCGTCAGTCCGTAAGAAACTGTTATTATGTGTATGGTTTCACCTAAACATAAGCATACATCGGGCCGGGTTTGCAAAAGCTAGGCCTAAAGCCCAAAAGTAGCTATTTTTTCAAGCCCGAGCCCGACCCAAAATGCAACCCGAAGCCCAAAAGCCCAACCCAAACACTGTATTTTAGCCTATATATATGCAAGCCCGGCCCAGAAATGAGGAAAATAGAAGCCCGAGCCCGACATGAATTCTATTCCAAGCTGTAAAATGAAGCTAAGCCTGGCCCAAAAGGCAAGCCCGACTTGTCCTTCGGGCCGGATCGCTGGACTAGTCCATGATCAGATTTAACCTTGTATTACTCCCTCTGTATTTTAGTGATCTAAACACTTTTATATTCCTTTACAAAGGAAGTATATTTTTTAAAGCTAAAAAAACCTTCTATTATTATTTTCACTCGCACCAACCGTTTCACTTTCTTTCGACGACTGGGAGTTGTAAAAGGTCTAGGGGCAGGTACGCAAAAATAGTCAGAGCATGGTTAATAATACAACCAACGGTGGGCTATAAGAAGTTGCCATATCATCTACAACCAACCTCTTGACCAACATATACAATATTAAGTTTTAAACTTGTTTATCAATAGTTGGCCCACCTTACATTCTCACAAAGCGTCTTCGGTCTCGTGTTGCAGCTGACTATTAATCAAGACTCCGCTCCACTTCTCTCTCTTTTTCTCTCTTCTTCAACTAAACAAAAATATATTATTCTATTTCTTATAGCCTGCTTATATCACTTATTGTACTTGCTCAGGGCCCCGCCAAATCCGTGTTATGCAGGACAGAGAGATACATGTGCCTGCCCTTTTCCTCTCTGGAAGCCCTCGCTTTCTGACCGAGGTCGTCGTTTGAACTTTGTCCCTTCGTTCAATAAAAAAGAAACGCAGCTTGTCTTGTGGCGAAGTTATATCAGAGCAGCGGCCGGTGCCCCGTCTGCTCCGTTCAGACCTCAGAGTAACACACTTCACTGTGAGGGTTTAGGTACAGCCATTAACGCAGCTGCAAGCACAGGCCCCGGAGCCGGAGGGCGGAGGAGCAGATCGGGCATGGGCGGCGGCGAAGGCGGGGAGGGGGCGCGGGCGCTGGACCAGACGCCGACGTGGGCCGTGGTCGCCGTCTGCGCCGTCATCGTCGCCGTCTCCATCCTCCTCGAGGGCATCCTCCACCACCTCGGCCAGGTACACCCCAAGCCCCCTTCCCTCCGTTTCCCGTCTCTCTGAACCCGCCTAACACATCCCCACTCACCATTCTTGGGCGCGGTGGTGCCTTGCCTGCAGTGGTTCAGCAAGAGGAAGAAGAAGGCGCTGTTCGACGCTCTGGAGAAGGTTAAATCCGGTACATTTTGCGACGCGCCCGTCCCCACCCCCAAAATTTTCGCCTGTTTCCTTCCGCGCGTAATCTGCAGCGCGTGCACCGATCGTCCGTGTGAAGAGGAAATTTGATGGGCGTTGATGCTTACTTGCCATGTGCAGAGCTCATGACTCTGGGCTTCATCTCGCTGCTGCTGACTGTCACGGCGAGGTACATATCGCGCATCTGCATCCCGGCGGGGGCCGCCGACACCATGCTGCCCTGCAAGCTCTCCAGGAGCTCGGAGCACGGAGAGGGCCACGGCCGACGGCACCTGTCTGAAGAGCCGGCCTACTTCTCATGCCCCAAAGTGAGTTGACTACTGTCAACTGCGTGGTTTACATTGTGCTGTAGCAAGGTGTGTCACATTGATTTGGGTACCAGTGATTGGGGGTCAGGGTATCGAGATTGATATTTTATTGTATTTTATTTCATCTGTTCCTATTATCTTCAGAAATGGTCTGGTCATTCCAAAATTGTTTGTTTTTATTCTCGGAATCCCAATGCCATTTCAGGGTATGGTGTCACTCGTTTCAACCGATGGGCTACACCAGCTACATATCTTCGTGTTCTTCCTGGCCGTCTTCCATGTAACGTTCAGTGCTATTACAATGTCCCTGGGCAGAGCAAAGGTAAGGTCTATTCCTCGGGCAACGTACAAGTGCCTGTTCTGAATTTCCAAAAGTTTTTAACAAGGATTTCAAATATCGAGACGAGGGAGTACTACTTAGTGTACGTACAAGCTTGAAATAACTCTGAAATTTTCTGCGCAGACGCGGATATGGAAGGAGTGGGAAAAGGATACTTCCTCCATCACCTATGAATTTTCAGCCGGTAGTGTCTCAATTGATTAGATATTGGTTCATATGCTTTAACTGAATGTGTAAGCAGCGTAACATGCAATATTCAGTTTGTCTCTTGTTATGCTAGAAGTAGAATCAAGCGGATACCTTCTTAATCAGCTTATTTGCAATCTCTTGTTAGGCATTTTTTTTAAACTGCTGGTACCCATTGGTCATATTTTACTTTTCAGATCCATCGAAATTCCGGCTCACTCACCAGACTTCTTTTGTGAGGCAGCACGCAAGCTGTTGGAGCAAAAGCACGATTATGCTCTATGTCGTAAGTTCTCTCATGGCTCCTCCCAACGACGGTTATGAAGTAGCATACCATATCAAATTTTCAGAGTAAATTGCACATTTAAGTTCCCAGATTAATAAACGACGTCAAGCATAATTATTCCTTACTATCTATTCCCTCCGTCCCAGAATAAGTGTCGCTGATTTAATATAAAGTTATTACTAAATCAGCGACACTTATTCTGGGACGGAGGGAGTATATTTCTACTGGATATCAAATATCAGTTAGGGCTTACCATTCTACATTTCTACTGAATATCAAATATCAATTAGTACTTCTTGCAGATAACTAAATTAGTATTTACCATTCTACATTTCTCCTGAATATTAAATATCGAAGGCTTATACTGAATTTTTCCAACCGGGGGAACTCCAGTTCCAAAATCTTTATACTCATTGCTGAGCTATTCCGAGTAGAAACTACTGAACAGAAACCCTATGGTTTTCCAAGATCATATAGCGTTTTTTTATAATAGAACCATAGGCTACATCAAACAGGTGTTAAACTGTTCTAAATAAAGTTTAAAGCATCGTCGTGATTTTTTCCTGCATAATGTATCTAGAAATGCTTTAGCTCAGGAGCTTCTTATGCTTTGACTTTATACAGGTGAGCTTCTTTAGGCAGTTTTTCAGATCTGTTCGGAGGACAGACTACCTGACTTTGCGGCACGGATTCATTGCTGTGAGTAGCTTCATATTTCCAGTAATTTTCTGTTTTTAGTTTACACTGATGATTTATTTCTGTATAGGCTCATTTATCCCCAGGGACTAGGTTCAACTTCCAAAAGTACATCAAGAGATCTTTGCAGGATGATTTCAAGACAGTTGTTGGCATTAGGTAAGGAAGCCTATGAATCATCCTTGTTTTATCCTCCTAATAAATTAATGACTCATTTGTATCATCATTGTTTTACTAGTCCACCTCTATGGGCTTCTGCTCTGGCTGTCATGCTCTTCAATGTTCATGGTGAGTTACAATCCTATATTTCCTTTGTTGGATTTCCTGTGCAATTTAGCACGATATAATTTCCAGTACACAAGGATCTGTGGGGAGCTTTCTGTGAAAATATGTTATTTTTTAAATTCGGAATATTCATTCTTCAGGATGGCATAACTTGTTCTGGTTCTCCACAATTCCCCTTATAGTAAGTTCTTACTAACTGTAGCATGTTTTATATTCATGTTGCTGAGTTCCTAACCATGCTTTTGGATATCTAGGTGATTTTAGCTGTTGGAACAAAGCTGCAGGCTATTATTGCAAGGATGGCTGTTGAAATTACAGAAAAACACACAGTTATTCAAGGAATGCCAGTGGTGAAACTCAGTGATGAACATTTCTGGTTCGGAAAGCCTCATATGGTTCTTCACCTTATCCATTTTGCATTATTCCAGGTCAGTTAACGGACTAGAAAGGACCCTTATCGACCAGACTGAATTATTTTGAGAAGACAGATCTGCATTTAGACCTGAATTGGGCCCATTAGTCATGTAGTAATGGTTCCCCTGCTGAATAGTTTCTTGTCTTTTTTTTGCGAATCGAATAGTTTCTTGTCAACTGTGGTAAAATGAACTTGAACTCACATGGTTGCCAGGGAAAGAAAACAGTTGTAACTAGAGCATACTTGTTTCATTGTCATATATAATGATTCAATCCCTAGCCTTCCGCATGTACTTTGGGATCGAATTTGAAAGACAACTCTGTCAAAACTTCTAATAGCTGTTCCTCGTTCTTGCAGAATGCATTTGAGATTACTTATTTCTTTTGGATTTGGGTAAGACTACTATTGACATTTGGAATCATTTTTTATGGTACTACTCTGTCAGTACTCTTTTGATTATAACTGTTAACTCTCGTGCAGTATGAATTCGGCTTGAGGTCCTGTTTCCATGACAACTTTGAGTTTATCATTGCAAGGATCTGCCTTGGGTGAGTATCAATACTGTATCTTCAAACTGATTTATTCCTCAATCATACTAACAGTGTCTGCTCCTACTCATATGTGTAGGGGTGTCGTCCAATTTGTGTGCAGCTATATCACGCTTCCGCTCCATGCCCTTGTATCTCAGGTATCTATACAGTATAGACACTGCTCACCAATGTTCAGTAACTATCCAACTTCAGTTTGTACTGACACTTACTTCAATAATCAAACTGTGAAAGCAATTTATCTGTAAATGTGACGACTAACGGAGAAACTATTGTTCTCCAGATGGGATCTTCGATGAAGCGAACCATCTTCGACGAGCAGACGTCGAAGGCCCTGAAGAAGTGGCACAAGACGGTGAAGAAGAAGCAGCAGCAGCAACAGCAGCAGAAGGGATCATCGCATGCCTCCTCAGAGACGCCAACCACGGACACGCCCGAGGCAGGCCGGCTTAGCCAGTGCCAGTTCGTCGCCGAGGCGGCGCCGGTGGCGAACCGGCACCTCCACCGCTACAAGACCATAGCGCACGTCGGCGCCACCAGGGCGCTCTCTGACTCGGACTGCTCAGACACCGATGCCGAGGCGCAGACGAGGTACCTGATCCCGCCCACGAAGCAGAGGAGCCTGGACTCAGAGGTCCGTGTGGACGTGGACGCCGCGACGCCGGATCACCGTGATAGTTTCTCCTTTCAGAGGCCGCCGCCTGCTCAGAATGCGATGGAGAAATGACCAAACGGGCGTAGGTCGTGCTTAGTATACTAATCAGTACTACTGACTTGTGTTAGATTAGAGGATGGGCAGACCGTCGAGGTGGGTAGGCAACTTTACCGTGCCATTTGGGGTGCATGAGAAGTCACAGGAATTTCGCTGGAGTTTTAGTGTAAACAGTTTAATTCCACGTCGCGGATAGAGAATCCTTGTGGTGCATTGCGTGATGGATGATCTTACTTTTCCTAAGGTTAATGATGAATTGTGGTGAGAGTGCCGTGATGTTTCGCCCAAGCACCCTCACAACGTGTTCATGTGTTCATCCTAGCTGAATCCACGCCCCTGTCTGTTGCCCGTGCCTGCAAACTTGCCTAGTGTTAGAGAAACTTAAACAGCTCCCCTAAGAATTAAGGGATGACCGTATAATTTAGAAAGTTCTCGTAAAAGTAGTTTTTTTTTTGTTAGAAATAGGGGAGCTGCTGGAGTTGCTCTTAGGTTGCCCTTTCTCGAAGGAAGTGAGGGTCCACTGTGCTCGTGGAATAGAGTTATACTCTCGTCCTGAAATGAGCCACCTTAGTTGATGCCAAACCTATAAAATTTGGGCCTTATGGAGAAGGGAAATCATGAAAGCTCAACAACCTCCTTGCCTATGTGATGTGGGGAGCTTTGAAGGCCAATGGACAAGCCATAAATTAAATTCACAATGCGCATTACGAGTTAAAAAAATGCATTTTCAAACCCTTTCACATGCTAATCCAATCCCATGGTAACTAGCCTTCAAGTCTGTCTTAGAGAACCAAGAAGTTCATCCAAGAGTTCAACAATAATCAGCAAAGGACATTCTCCCCTTCATTGTCAAAGCATCAAAGAAGTTGGCCGATCTATGCTCGACACATGGGATTGCCTGCTCTTCACGAATTGGATGAGGGAAAAGGGTCAAAGAAGCAAAAAGATAGGTAGAGAATCTTAATCGACAAAGCGCAAATCCAACAACAAACACCAAGTATGCGCAAGTGTTTGAAACCGAACTCGACGCTCTTGCGACTGTTTTCCACACCGCACAGTCGATCTGGATTCTCGCAACACAAGGGAAAACAAGAACAAGGTGAAAGGTTCTTCCCTACAAAAGTAGAGGTCTCGTAGCGGCTCCACAAAGGGAGGACTCAGATAAATCTACATGAGAGGTGGGATTGGTCATCTCCATGAGGAGGCATCTCCATAAGGGAGGAGGTGTAAGCTAAGCTCTTGAGCTCTTAGTCTATTGTTAGCTAACCCTAGAAAATGGGAGGGTGAGGGGTTACTTATATATAGCCTCCACCACGAAGGAGGGAGTTGGTGGCCTTAGAGAGCAATATATGGGCCTTTGGCCCGTTTTCTGACCGCAAGCAAACCAGACCCTAGGGTCTCCAAAACCTTCATGGAATACCTGAAGGTGAAGTCTGGATGCTCAAGGTTTAACTCTGGGACGTTGAGAACCTTTCTGGGTAGGTCTGAGGGGAGCCCGGATGCTCTGGTTCTGGTTCTGGGGCTGGACCATGCTTGTTCCTTCTTTGGAACTTCACTTCTTCCGCACTGTCAAGCTTCTCTGTTACATGGTGTAGCGGTTCCCTTATGCATGTCCTCCTTGGCTCGCCACACTCTTTGCTCAAACCTAAATGCGCACAAGGTAGGAGTGCCAAGTAGTATACCATTCTCGAGAATAGTAGGTAGACACACACAAGGGAGACGAATCACTGTTGTAAGCCATGTGCGTGTGACAGTTGGCATGAGGCACTTTTTACAAGGTACGACTCGACCTCAAATTTGAAATTTCATCACCATGGAGCATGACAAATTGACCTAGTTGGACTTGTCATGCACCTCCTAACACCTGATGTGGCCACTCTCCAATGTTGATTCTTCATCCATGATGCATATCGTGCTAACAATAAGAATGAAACAACACACAAATTAAAAGTGTAGCCAATTCATTGCCATTAACTAGGAATTCACATTAGTGGGATTTATTCAAGTTTGTTGTGCAAGATCTTGGCACTTGTAAATGTGAGGCTCAAACACTCCTATGGAGTTTGACAAGTAGAAGTTGGGACCTAGGCTTGCACTAATAAAAGCAATCAGCGTGTGTGCATGAATGCATGATAGATAAACACATCATCCATCATGATGCGTCCTTTCTCTTGCATGTCACTCTTAGCACAAAGCACATTCATCAAGCATATGATGAATGCATGCCATATGTGGGGTGCATAGGTAGGCTCCATGCATATTGTGTAAGGAGAAAAAGGTCATGCTTCACATGTGATAAGTCTAGCCCTCGTCGGTTGGTCTCTTCTCTTCCTTCTCAAAGGCAACTAGGGAGGAGAAAAAAATCTACTGGCGACTCCTCGTCCCCGAGGGCCTTGTGCTCGCCAGTGGAGGAAGGGTCGCTAGAATCGTTTTCTGGCCATGTATAGCTGGAGTATAGGATTAGGCTTCGTAGCTAGGGTTTTGGCCGTCTGTAGCGCCGCTCCAGCGGTGACGTTGACGGCACCGCCGAATAATTTGCCTACAGATCCCTCTTCGACGCTTCGTCTCCAATGGAGTTCGTCCATGGTTATGGAAGGAAGAAGTGTCGGGAGAGGTCAACGCGGATATGGCTTGCACCAGGTAGCAAGATCTTTGATGGCATCAGTGACGACAACTCCTACTTGGGGGCATTTGGCAGTGATGATTTCCCGTTTGCGTGGAATAAAGTATTGCCGACTCTGGCTGTGGATCGGGAGCGATAGCGATGTTGCACTATCAGCCCGCTCGAAAGGATGGGGACGGCTGGCTTCCCGGGGACCAACTTGTAATTTTCTTGTTTTGGGGGGTTGCCTTGTATTGTCGTTTGCTAGTTAATAGATCTGGGGGTCTCTTCGCAAAGAAAAAAGAGAGAAAGGCACGGGGCGTTCCCATTTTCAAAGATATAACCGTTATTGCAATCAAAACATCAGAAAGAGCATATATTTTTCAATAGATTTGATACAAAAAGAGGAAAAGTTGGACAACAACCATTACATGGCATGTGCAAAGCATGGGTATGGTAACAATCAAGCCTAGAGAAAAGAGCAAGACTTCATCATGTTTGATGCAACACAAAGAGCATTTCATCAATATTCATGGAAAGGTGGTCTTCACAAGACAAATATAACACCCTACCATGGTTGCAAGCAATCTTATAGAAAGAACAACTATTCAATATTATTTTTGCAACACAAGTAGCATTATACACTTGCTCAAAATATGCAAAGGTAGCGTGGAAATATCATCACAACTTATGAAAATGTCACAAACCAAGAACTTGTCATCCATGCCACTCTCAGAAATCAGATTGAACTTAATATGATAGGCATATGTGGCACAGAAAGATCTTAAAGATGTGATTTTGAAAATCTTAAGCATATCAATAGACAGAGATATATGACCATCAAGCATGACATGCCATTTTTTGCGATGATAAAATGACATATTGAATTAGCAAAATATATCCTATTAAGCATTCCATCACATATAATCGACTCCACATACTCATCATAGATAAGAATTTAAGCGTCACCTATGTAAGTTACGATTAGCACTATATAAATGGCAATGGGATCATCAATATCATGCAAGCAAATCCAAACTTGCTCATTGGCCTTGACGAAGGTTCTACTAGAGATGCTCTATGTAGAGGACGACCGTTGGATTAGGATATCTGAAGGAAATATGCCCTAGAGGCAATATTAAAGTTTTTATTTTATATTTCATTATTTATGATAAAGGTCTATTATTCATGCTAGAATTGTATTGATCAGGGACTAAAATACATGTGTGTATACATAAACAAATACCGTGTGCCTAGTAAGCCTCTACTAGACTAGCTTGTTGATCAAAGATGGTTAAGTTTTCCTAACCATAGACATGTGTTCTCATTTGATAACATGATCACATCATTAGGAAAATGATGTGATGGACAAGACCCATCCGTTAGCTTAGCATATGATTGTTCAGTCTATTGCTATTGCTTTCTTAATGTCAAGTACATAATCCTTCGACTATGAGATCATGCAACTCCAGGATACCGGAGGAATACCTTGTGTGCTATCAAACGTCACAACGTAACTGGGAGATCATAAAGATGCTCTAAAGGTATCTCCGAAGGTGTCTGTTGAGTTGGCATGGATCGATATTATGATTGGTCACTCTCGGTATCGGAGAGGTATCTCTGGGCCCTCTTGGTAATACACATCACAAGAAGCTTGCAAGGAAAGTGACTAAGGAGTTAGTTACGAGATGATGTATTACGGAAATAGTAAAGAGACTTGACGGTAATGAGATTGAACTAGGTATGAAGATACCAACGATCAAATCTCGGCAAGTAACATACCGATAGACAAAGGGAATTATATATGTTGTCATAAGGTTCGACCGATAAAGATCTTCGTAGAATATGTAGGAACCAATATGGGCATCCAGGTTTGGCTATTGGTTATTGATTGGAGAGGTGTCTCGGTCATGTCTACATAGTTCTCGAACCCGTAGGCTCCGCACGCTTAACATTCGTTGACGATATAGTGTTATATGAGTTATATGATTTGGTGACCGAATGTTGTTTGTAGTCCCGGATCAGATCACGGACATGAAGAGGAGCTCCGGAATGGTCCGGAGGTAAAGATTGATATATAGGACGATGCTATTTGGACACGAGAATAGTTTTGGAAGGTACCGGGTAGTCATCGGATCACCGGAATGGGTTCCGGGAAGCCCCGGGAGGCTATATGGTAATGGGCCAAAGAGGGATCACACCAGGTCACCAGCCCACAAGGGGCTGGTGCGCCCCTCTCCCTGGCCACGGGCCCTAGGGGAAGGAAAGGGGGAGGGTTGGCCCCTCCTACCTTTCCCTCCTCATGAGAGAAAGGAAGGGGGGGGGCGCCACCTCCCCCTGTCTTCCTCCCGCGCACAAACAAGGAAGGGGACGACTAGGGCAGGAACCCAAGGAGGATTCGGCCTCCTTGGGA